ACCTTTGGCTATCTGATCAATAATTGATTAATCAGAAAAATAATCAACAGATTAATCATTTTGCAAAATAACCGTTAGTTTCAGCCCCATTTCAAATTTTCCTTTATTTAAATCTTACATTTTACATTCGGATAAAAAAAAAAAAAATTGAGATTCACCGGTTGGATAAAGGGCTGTTTCCCAGTTTTTTTTTTAAGTATCAGGAGCTATTTAATTACGTCTAAATCTATTTTACATTGAACTCCTAATCTGGCCTGAATCCTTCATTTATTGTAGATTATTTAAAGCACACTTTGTGATCGAAGAGTTTTTTGTAGCTCATACAAGGAATCAAAGTATCAGTTTAAAAAAGTGATACTACAGCACATGTGTTAAACACAAAGGCTGAATCTGTCATACGCCACATTTATATCTTATAAAAATGTGTATCATATCATAAAGTAGAGACTTGATAATTGTGAAGTGGCCTGATGCAAAAATAAGTTTCACTTACCGTGTCTAGATACTTATATAAAAAGGGGGGGAAAACAAAACAAAAAGAGGTTCAATGTGGCGACATTTTTTTAATTGCTGCCCCTTCCCCACTTATTTCTGCACACCTGCAGGGCAGGTGAGTGTGTTATTTAAGAACCAGCAGTAGATCACTGGCATTTTACATTAACTGGATGTGATTGGGTACCTCAGAATGTTTTCATGGGGGCACAGAAAAGCATGAAGCAAAAAAAAAAAAAACGGGCAACTGATTCAAATACATTAAGAGCTGATATGAAGTGAAATTTCCATTCAATTAGGTTTAATTAAAATTATATGTCTTCTAACTGAAAATATTTATTTTTTGCTTGAAAATGTTAATTTGGGTTATTGTTAAAATGAAAACATAAATACCTTAGCACAGCAAAAAATAAACTCCAAAAATTGTAGCTATATGAATATCTAAAGGATCAAATAAAGCTATTATTCTGAATATTAGGTCAACATACATTCATAATGTAGGAATTTTGCATATTTTTCACCAAATTTTATCTAAAATTACCATTTTCTAAAAAAAATCTGAATTAGAAATCAAGAAAAACTGATAAATTCAGCTGTAAAAATTGTTTTGAGAAAATGTTTAGAAGATGTAAACTGGGCTCCTATCTCAAAACATCTTTACACTATTACCTTATTGTTTTAAAATAATTAGTAAAACAGAATAAAAATAAAAAAGAACGTGAAATAGATCCAAAGGACCTATCAGTAACCATCTCTGTTCCAGCGCAGATCATCATTAGAATTTCTTTTAGTATTTTGTCTTCGGTACAGGGGCCATGACATGATCCATAGGGGCAGTGGCCCCCGTTAGCTCCTGTCTAGAACTGCCCATGCCGTTCATGCTCCTGCATCCCTTTCAATGCTTTTATTTTTATAAAGTTGTCATAATTGTCAAAGTAAAATAAAGTAGCTATTGGGGGGAATTATATCCTGAAAGTTTGAGGAACTGAAAACAGTACCGTTGACGACATAGATATTCTTATTAGAAAGGGACATAAAAGGAGGAACAGCATACAGTAAACATAGGTGATCAGTTCTGCAATTAAATACATCAAGTTCCTGTGAAAGCAGAAGTTACACTATATCTGTCATCATCATCATCATCATCATCATCATCATCGTTTTCCTTGTTCCTTTCCCTAAACAGACATACATGCAAGAGAAACATGCAAATTGAATCGGACGGACCCGTTCTTCAGGTTCAACTTGCATGTTTTCTAAGCCATAATGAGGCTTTGTTCTTGGTCCACTTTATAAAGCTTCAAACTCAACGATATTTCTGACATTCACAATTAAAAAACTTTCCTGGATGGGAAGCGAAACGTCTTCAACCTTGGAAACAAAGTCCAGTGGATTGTTTTTAAACTTTTTTGGAACATGCAACATTCATAAAAAAAAAAAAAAAATAGTTGTGAAATAAATATTTCTCCAACTAAAATTAGTTAAACCAAAGTGAAAAATATACCTCTGGGCCAAAGACCTTTAGGAAGTGATTCATGCTTTTATGATCTCTCAGTTGGATTAGTGTAATGCATATTATGTTGTGTTAGAAAGATCATCCCTGCATCAGTTTCAAACTGCCCAGAATGCAGCCTGGTACTAAAACCCAAACCCATATCTCCACCTCTGACTCTCCATTGGCTTCCTGTTTAATTTAGGAATGATTTTAAAGTTTACTTCCCTACACTAAAAGCACTCGGGTAACGCAACAGTTCCTGTTAGATGATCATAGATCTAAACTAAAAATCAGAGGTGATCAGGTCTTTGGAACAGTTTACGGTCTCATATACAGATCTCTGAGACTATCAAGACTTTTATACTCAGCAGTAATCTTCATTCTTTGGTGTTTAATTTCTAGCAGAGTTTGACATTCTGTTAAAAAAAATAGCTCATTGTATATTTATGTGTTTAAAGTCGTAGGGAAATCATATTTAAACATGTATATAAATGTTCTCTTTATCAGTCCCAAAAGTTAGAAAATAAAAAAAAATTTAAAAATCCCATCTTAAAATCAATTTTTTTTCCGTTATCTTCTGCAGGCCAGTTAGTTTTACGTCAGCCTGAACACCTAAATTCGGCCAATCAACGGTCATCTGTCAATCAAATTTTTTCGGTCATAGCATCTTGATTCATATGTTGCAGCTAATATACGCAATGGTGGAAATAAGAATCTTCGCAGCGTAGTGGTGACCGTTACAGGTGTATAGTTGGAGAGCAAATTGTTCTCGCCAAGAAAAGTGTGGATTTGGGGAGAACGGGAGCATGAAGTGTAAATATGGGTCAACTGGAACAGAAGCGTACTGATGACATCACCACACACTCAGCTCGCATGGAGCTGCTTTTCACCTCCTGTTATTAATAGTCTTTAGATAATAATAAATTCAGACTTTTTGCATTTAGAGGGGGAATAATGATGAACACAGTCAGATAAACACAAATCAAATGAACATTTTGCCAACGTTAAGCCCCGGCCGCTGCAGATGGGCTAACGTTAGCCCTGGCTGCTGCAGATGGGCTAACGTTATCCCCGGCCGCAGATGTGCTAACGTTAGCCCCGGCCGCCGTAGATGGGCTAACGTTAGCCCCGGCCGCCGCAGACGGGCTAACGTTAGCCTTGGCTGCTGCAAACGGACTAACATTAGCCCTAGCTGCGGCAGCCCCGTTAGCGCCGGCTTTGGCAGAAGGGCTAACGTTAGCCCTGGCCGCCACAGATGGGCTAATGTTAGCCCTGGCCGCCGCAGATGGGCTAAGATTAGCCCTGGCTGCCGCAGATGGGCTAACGTTAGCCTTGGCTGCTGCAAATGGACTAACGTTAGCCCTAGCTGCGGCAGCCCCCATTAGCCCCAGGTTTGGCAGATGGGCTAACGTTAGCCCTGGCTGCTGTAGACGGACTAATGTTAGCCCTGGCTGCTGCAAACGGGCTAACGTTAGCCCTGGCTGCCGCAGATGGGCTAACGTTAGCCTTGGCTGCTGCAAATGGACTAACGTTAGCCCTGGCTGCTGCAAATGGACTAACGTTAGCCCTAGCTGCGGCAGCCCCCATTAGCCCCAGGTTTGGCAGATGGGCTAACGTTAGCCCTGGCTGCTGTAGACGGACTAATGTTAGCCCTGGCTGCTGCAAACAGGCTAACGTTAGCCCTGGCTGCCGCAGATGGGCTAATGGGCATGTAATGCTCTGGTAGCTTAAATCTTTCTTCAAAGAACATTTTCCCTCTGACATACTTTACCAGACCTGGAAAACAAACAACAAAAAAGGTCCGTGTGGAAATCCTTTTAAAACTTGCGCAGCTATGCGTTTGTTATCATTAGCCTTAAATAGGTTTTGTTTCTGTGCAGTGATGAGACACCGCATTAATTCACTGCATGTTGCATTTATAATGTTCCTCAAACGACAATAACAAAGAAGCTATTGAAATCAGCGAGTCACAGGTTGGCACCATTGAGTGAGCATCCACTGCAAAAAATGTTAATCTACACTGCAAAAACTAGAAATCTCAATAAGTTATTTTTTCTTAAAATAAGTGCGTTTTTCCTTGATTTGAGGAGGTAAGTAAGACACTTTGCCAATGGAACAAGACAATTTCCTTTTAAAATAAGAAAAAACAATTTTATTGTCTTATTTCAAGTAAATATTATCTAACTATCTTATTTTAAGAGTGAAAATACTCATTCCATTGGCAAATCATCTTATTTACCTGCTCAAATTAAGGCTAAATATACTTAATTTAAGCAATTTTTTACTTATTTCTGGACTGTTTTTGCAGTGTAGATAATAAATTCTTTCTTAAAATAAGTGCATTTTTTTCTTGAATTGAGAAGGTATGTGAGACACTCTGCCAATGGAACAAGATTATTTACATTTAAAATAAGAAAAAAACATTTACATTGTCTTATATCAAGTGCATAGTATCTAATTATTTTATTTTAAGAACAAAAATTTTGATTCCACTGGCAAATCATCTTATTTACCAACTAACATTAAGGGTAAAAACACTCATTTTAAGAATTTTTTACTATTGTTTTTGCAACGATCATCAGGGTCCTGGTCATGTTTATACAAGCTTAAAAAAAAAACTACAATTTTCCTGGAAAGAAATTAATAATTGAAAAAGTAAACACCTGCAGGGCTGCAGGATCAGCTTGCTCATTAATATTAAATAGATGAAGCTGTTCTGACATGCTGCAGCCTTCTGTAACACTGTCTTCATTGGGTCTTCCTGACCTGACTGAATTATTGACAGCAAGTGCAGAACATTGTTAAGTGACTCCTGAAATGTTTCAGGCAGATGACTACAAAAACAAAACCATTCAGGAGAGCCTTGCCTTCTTATGTGGGAGGGAATCTAAACAGGAAAAAGTGAGAATAACACAAAAGGGTTTAAAATTTAACAAGAGCAAAAACAGTGTTACCCTCCAAAATACACTTGAAACGCAGACTAAACACTTAAGCATCACAGCTGCTGACTTACCGTCTTGTAAATCTTCTGGCTTCTTGCGCTTCTCGTACACAACGATTATGATAACCAGGATGATGATCTCAGCCAAAACGCCCAGCAGCGGCCACAACGGTGCCAAGAGGCTGCGGACCCTCAGCACAGACGTCTCACTGTTGTTGCCAATAATGTTGGAGGCATTGCACATGTACTCGCCAGGGTCCAGGTTAATGTCCAGGGTGGCGATGTGCAGCTCGGTGTAGTTGTCTTTGCTGCTGATGAAGAAGCGTCCGGATGAGTTGTCAATTTCCTGCCAAGGGGAAGAAAACAAATCTGTTACAAATTCCTGAGGCAATAGCCACACTGAAAGCTATTTTCTATAAAATCTACTAAATATGAATAAACTGCTTTTTATTTAGTAGGAAGATATAAACACTGAATGCAAACAATGGGGATAAAAGATTTCCACATTAAGAGGACTCTTATAAATACGACGGAATATTAGTAACCTGACTCCGCCAGATGGATTTGCTCCTCATATCCATCTGGAAACCTTTCGTTGAAGTAGTTTTGGGAAAGGGCGAAAATACTGGTTAGCTGATTGGCCTATGTTGGTGATAGACGGGCCAAATAAACCAATCAGATCAACGAAGCATATGACGTACTAATAGAGCGACGACGAAACCTACTCTTGCCGAAACCAGTCGGGAGAAGAGCAAAAACATCTTTTCCTCTGAGAAAAGCCTCCAGAGCAGTGTTTTGCTCTTCTTTCAGTGAAGATAGATTCCGATAAAACTTGCTCGATAGCCACGCTAACGCTAGTTTCACCAGCTGAAGCCGCCATGTTCTTTAGACTGAACTGTCGCGCTTCTCGTTGCGTCACACCTCAACCCGCCTCAAAGCCAACGCTGATTGGACGTTCGTTTGGTGAACGGCTTCAAATTTTCTTCAACGGAGAGTCTCCAGACTGATCTGCGAGTGAAACCTTGAAAGCTCGCGAGATCAGGATTGTCTCACGAGGCTAGAGTATTAGGGCCAGGATAGAGATTTTTTTTCCCTCTATTTTGAGAATAAAGTCGTTACATTATGAGAATAAAGTAATAAAATTACAAGAATAAAGTCGTAAAATTACGAGAATAAAGTCGTAAAACTGAGAATAAGGTGGTAAAATTACAAAAATAAAGTCATAAAATTTCGAGAATAAAGTCGTTACATTATGAGAATAAAGTTGTAAAATTACAAGAATAAAGTTGAAATATTAAGAGAATAAAGTCAACAAAAGAGAAACAAGTAGTATTTTATAACAACTCTTACAAGAATCACTTTCTTCCCTAAAATGAGGAATGTGGAGTTATACTTTGGCATCGGTTTGACAAATCAGGAAATCTTTTAGGCAGGAGGTCAAAGTGGACTCTGGTTGCTGATTGGTGGAGCTGGTCGGCCGTCATCTGCTGGGCGGAGCTCCAAGCTTTCTTTCTGAAATGGGTTTTTGAATGATGACTTCATTCTCCTAATATTACAGCTTTATTCTCATAATGTAACGAGTTTATTCTCGTAAAGTTACGACTTTATTCTCGTAACGTTACAACTTTATTCTCGTAACGTTACGACTTTATTCTCGTAACGTTACGACTTTATTCTCGTGGCGTTACGAGAATAAAGTCGTAACAGTGCTCTTACGAGGGTAAGAGTACTGTTTTGCTCAAAATATTGCAACATTATGGGTGACATACCAGAGTTCAAAAGAGGACTCTGGTATGTTCCCACAGTGGGTAAGAAAACGTGTTTTACCAGCATTCTTGGTGAAGAGACTATTACTGTGTTGATGGAGACTTTGACACCCCAAGATGTTAAAGATGATTTTCTTTCTTAGCCTTTAGCTTTACTACGCACTTTGAGCAACATCAAATTATTACACTTGTTTTCAAACATCAGGTGAAAACTATTTAAAAGAAATTTATAAATGCATTATTAGTGAGGTAAGGTGGATTTTCGGGATACTGCAACGAGTCATATGAAATAAAACATGGAGGACACTAGGGGTGTAAATCACACCCATCATGGCGATTCGATTCAGTATCGATTTACGGACGGATCGATTAATCGATTAATTTTTTTTTAGACCTTACAGGCTAAACAAAGTTTCAAGTTTGAAATAAATCAATGAAAGCTGTAATATCATTATGCATTTTATTTTTAGAAACAACACCAAATAAAAGAAGTAGAAAAGTTGCATCAAAAAATCCTGCACAAAATCAGTGCAATTCAATACCTTAGCTCCAGACGTCCCGCCCCCTCCACAGACGCTCCGCTGCTGCTCTCCCAGATTGTAGCTGACCGCAGACAGCGCCACAGACAGGAGGCCGGCTTGTTTTGTTTTTATGACCGAAATTGCGCAAAACAACTCGTGAAGTTTGACCCGCTAGAAGAGCGAGGTGCACGAGAACGCTGGGACCCTTTTTCCACCTGGATCTCCGCTCTTTTTGGCCCTCATGTCCCTCCGTCGTCGGACTAAACTCGCCCCCACTTCCTTGCCGCCTCGGCCGTATCTAGACCCACAGCGTGTAGCTCAGACCACGCTTCAATATTGAGCATAATTTTAAAATGTCTGCATCAAGCTCACTGCAACACACTGCTGTAAGAGTATAACCAGGAAGCGACATAGGTTTAGCGCCACCGCAGCACGGGAGGGCGAATTACGCCCAGGAGCAAATGGATAAAAATAGACCGGAGGGAAAAAAAAAAAAAAACATGAATCGATTATCTTGCGGACGTGTCGATGCATCGGATTGTCGGCTGTTGGATCGATGAATCGATACAAAACCATTATTATTTACACCCCTAGAGGACACTGAAAATTCGCCCGGCTCCATCACATTTCAAGTCAGATGCTTGGATGCATTTTGGCTTTAAAAACAAAGAAGGTAAAAATGAAATTGATATGATGCACGTAATTTGCAAAAGGGGAAATATACATTTGAATGTTTTCATTTCATTGGTTTAAAAGACCACTGAGGCCATGTAAACGGCTCTGATTATCCTTATTTTGTTATTTTAAGTTTGATGAATCCTAAGATCTTTTTGTCAGTGTGTCCACACTAGTAATAGTAATATTTCTGTCCAGTATTTGTTTTCATGGCAACACCTCCAAAAGTCGTTTCATTAAATACAGCTATGTATGAATTCAGTTGCTTTCAGTTATGTATCAATTGAAGACACGATCCAGATCACACCCAGCCAGTCAGCCACTGGTAAGGACTTAATCTTTTTCTTACAGTGTTCAGTGAAAATATCGCAATGCATCGTAATATTTCAAGTATCATGATGCATCGTGATAGAATTGCATCGTGGCATGTGAATCGTGATTCGAATCGAATCCTGACTTCTTTGCCAATACCCACCCCTAATGTACTTAACAATTTTTTTTAGGCTTTGCAGGAGGAATTTACTGAATTTGAAACTTCACAGGAGGAACCAGAGTATTACATCACCAGGGTTAAACAATCGGCGACTTAACTAAAGTGGATTTTAACTTCCTAATCTCCAGCACTGCCTTCTGCTCAGATAGCTATTCGAGTCATAGAGGGTAACAGTTTTAACTTGGATTTGGGAGATGAAGTGACAACCTGTTCAAGATGGTGGATTTTAGGGGCTTAGAGGTGATTTTCCACAGATGTATTTTTCATGCATTGCTTTCAGGGACACATTTTTGATGATGCACTGGATTTCCATGGCAGGTTTTTTATCTAGAGATCTGTTTTTCTTTAAATGTCCACCTTTAATGTTAACTATTTATCAGTTGGAACCGTTTACAAACCCCCAAAACTCTACAGGATCAAGCAAGAGCAGCAGATGTATCAACACATATACTGTAGATGAAATTAATATTTAATGCCATTTACATATTTAAAAACTTCTCAGTCCTTGTTTTACCAATTATTTGTTTAGATTTATTTGGGAACATTTAGAACGGAGAGAAAAAGATGCATAAAATTGGGTAAAATAAAAAACTTTTGTATAAATAATGTAGCCATCCATAGTTTCCCCACTTTCCTAAATGGGTCCTTGGCTGGTCCCCTACAATTCCTTTTTAAACATCAATATTTACACTAAAATATTCTTTCTGTCCTGATTTGTGGACATTAAGATCTACTCAGAAGCATCATCTCTTGGTCAGAGCCAGTAATTCAGTGAGTCAGAGTAAAAGAAATATACAAGAGGGGGGTCCCTTTTTTTTGTTACATTTCTGTCTCTTTTAACCCACCTTACTTTTATCTTTTTAAATATTTATGTGTCTCTTGTGCTTCTTCTTTTATTTTTTATCTGTGATTTGTGAAATGTGAACATGTGTGTGAAAGGTGTACTACTACTGCACAAAATTGCCCATACTGGGACAAAGAAAAGCTACTGAACTGAACTCCATTGGCTGGAAGTTGGAGGGGATCTTGCTGGGAGTTGAAGGGCCATGTTGAATGGCTGCTATTGTACATTTGAATTGCTACAAATAATGTGTTGTAAATTAGCAAAAAATTCGGAAATAAAACTATTTTCTACCGTTATGGATTTAACTAAATACCTTAATGAAAGAGTCGTCGATCTTATACCAGGTCCAGACGGGGTGAGGGTATCCCACAGACTTGCAGTAGAGAACAGCGCGTTCGCCCTCATTCTTATTCTCACTGCGCTTATGGCCGGTAATCAGGGGAGCAGCTGAAACAAAGAAAATCATTTGGATATTATTTAAAGAAAGAAAAAATATTTCTTTCTTTTCAGATAAATCTTGGAGTGATATCAAACCAAAAAAGACCCAAAGAAGAATGACAAAAGTAATGGCACCGGTTTACCAGTTCAGTTTACCAAAACATCCACATTATGTAAATCTATGCAAACATATTTAACCTCTGCTTACTAGAAATTCTAATTAAAGGGCATTTGTGACTCTTTTAACCTTTTCAAATTCAATTCTTTACAGACTAAGGCCCCGTCCACACGAAGCCGAACTCTGGCCTAAACGCACAAATTTTTCACCAAACCAGCCTCTCATCCATACGAAGCCGGCGTTTCAGGGGTCTGTAAACGATTTTTTTTTATTAAGCCTTCAGAGTGGGAAGATTTTGAAACGCCGTTTTCGCGTTTCCATCTTTAAGCTCTGACCGCATTTTTTTTTCTTACACGCATGCGTCATAGCGTCGCCTCTAAACACGCATGCGCGACACAGCATCACAACAACAATGGCGCCGTCCTGTGTTGAATGGTTGCTGCTCATGCTACTCACCCTGCTGTCGGGCTTACAACAGAATCTTCTTCTTCTGGAATATCTCCAGGAAGAACAGAGCAATATCGAACACATAGTTCAGCACCTGAATTTGACTGAACCACGAAAATGGACCCGCAGGGCAACCATGTATAAATATTAGTGCGCATGCCCAACATTTCATCGTCTATTTTTGCTTTGGCACCACAGCGCCACTTACAGGCCTGGCATACATTTTGCAGCGTTTTCATGCATTCGTGTGGACGATCACATTTATTTTACGTCTCCGTCTTTACGACAAACGTTCTGGAAAATATTAGCTTTTCGTGTTCGTTTTGACTTGTGTGGACGGGGCCTTAAAAGTTGTAACAGAAATACTTATATTTAAGCTTAAAGTCAAGAAATCTGTAATCAAATAAAAAATAAGCACAAATGAAAGTTGCCAAAGACTAAGAAAAAATACTTTTAAAAAAAAAAACAAAAAAAACCAATCCACTGGACTTTGTTTCCAGGTTTAAAGACGTTTCTCTTCCATCCAGGAAGCTTTTTCAATTCAAAATGTCAGAAATAGTGTTGAGTTCCAGGTTTTTATAGACTGGACCAAAAACAAAGTATTGTTTTTGTTAAGAAAAATGCTAATTAAACCAGACGAACGGGTCCATGGGGGTGATTTGGCTTCTTTTGTTAGCCTGCAATGCCCCATACCTGTTTATGTCTCCGAAAGGAGACATAAACAGTGATCGTGCTCGTGATCGTGCACCTGCGCGATCACGACGCTACGGAAGCCGGCAGACCAAACCAGCGCCTTCAGCTCGGCAAAGAACTCATGCTCTTCCTCAACACTGAAGTCCTCAGACATTTTTCTTTCGTTGTTTCTTTCTTTGCACAGGTAAACAGCAAATTTCTTCTTCTACGCTTGCATTATCGGCAGAGCAGACGCTGAATGCGCACTTTCATCTGGTTTGGTCTGCCGGCTTCCGTAGCGTTGTGAACGCGCTTTCAGGAAATCCTATACACTACTGTTTATGCTCTAAAAACATTCTAAATGACTTCGTTTCGAGTAAATTATGGACGCTACCCACTCAGGACACTTGGAATACATTGGACGAGCAGTATGGAGGAATATTGACACGTTTTTTGTGGACTTTTATGGACCTTTCTGCCTCGGGCGCCATAGACCTCCATTATTTGAATGTCAGCAGACAGCAAGAAGCCTCCCAGATCTCCAGATGCATTTGAGATATCAAAAAAGTACTCCAGAGTGTTGTTCAGCATGGGGGTGAGTAGAAAATGAAGGCTAATCATGTTTTGGGTGTACTATTCCTTTAAAGCTTTCCTTTTGGGTATTACAGGCAAACAAAAACCCAACAGCCCCCATTCCAAAGGGGCAAACTCGCTCGTCAAGCTCAGTTTGCAATTTTTCTAAGCAAAAATAAGGCTTTGTTTTGGTCCACCCTATAAAGCCTCAAACACAATGAAATTTCTGACATTTTGAATTGGAAAACGCTTCCTGGATGGGAAGCTAAACATCTTTAAAGGGGGAAACTAAGTCCAGTGGATTGTTTATTAAAATTTTTTGGAATGACTAAGACCTGAATGACTGAGAATCTTTACCAGCATAAGAAAAACTACACTGAAATTTAAATGACTCATCACCTGTGAGACCCAATAGTTATTTATGTCATGCATTTTTGATGTTTTCAGGGATTTTAGCTCTAAAATATAACAGCTGGCCTTTAAGCAGAAAAAAAATTTACTAATCCAATATAATCTTCATACACGGAATAAATTTATCAAGACGCCTGTGGTAAGTTTACATTTTAATATTTCTAAATCAATTTATGAATTTAGTAATTTAGGAAACTGCTCATTTCTTTCTAGATAAGCAGAAACATTCCATTAAATAATAAGCACCATCCCAAAATCCAATTTGCTTGTATAGCGATGCATGTGTAACAGCAGAAAAGGCTGACCGGATTGTACCATAATCCTTTGCAATCAGGCAAACAAGACACCATCTGCCACCACCGAGCCCAGCATTGGCTGCAGGAAGGTGTCAAGGGCGTCGACTGCCTCTGAGCAGCCAGCAGAGCTGTTTGAAATCACAGGTCCGTGCATCAAAGGGCAGAGAGGGCTCCAGGCAGGTTTGGCTAGTGACAAATCAAATGTGTCCCAAAAAAAAGGATCATATGCCCCCAGCTTAAAAACAAAAACCTACATTTTACTTCAATGGTGGCGTTAGCAGAAGGAGCCATGTCAAAGGTGTAGACACACATGTAGATGCCGGCGTCATCTCCTCTTGGTCTTTTGAGCCTGCGGTTCAGAAAGAGGAAACCTCTAGCTTACAACCAGCAGGCTGCAAAATATTATGTTTGCAAAAAAATGTATTGACTTTTCTACCTGTATTCAATGTATTTGTTTGAGGTGCGCGTGTCAGCGATCTCCTCCCCATTCTTCATCCAGTAGCTCTCCTGGGGGGTACTGTAGGCGCTGGTCAGGTTGCACTTCAAAAAGACCTCCTCTTCTTCTCGAGTAATGGTGAACGGCTCAGAGGCCACAATCGATGGCTCTGTAACAAAGAGAGAGCTCAGCACAGAAAAATGGGACGGAGTAAAACGTCCTGCCTGGACAGCACTATGCATTCGAGGCTAGAATCCAGATATTACACATTTAGAGACAAAGGAAATTAAAATAAAAAAATTTATTGAAAAGGAAGCAGAATTCTGCAAATGCTCTATGAAGCAGGTCCAACTGAACAAGGAATAAAACTGTCTAAAACTTTGGCTCTCCCCATTGGTTATCTGCAGTAATACATTTTAAGAATCAATATCAGCAAACCATAAACTATAACTCTATAGCCACTCCTGATTGGCTTATCCAGGTATATGTGTTTACACCTGTAAGGCCAGAACACACCGGTTACATCCGACTTTTTAATCTCTGATTTTTTTCCATGTCACACTGACTGCGTATAGAGAGGCTCTGACTAGCAGGATTTTTTTCACTTCTATCGCTGTGCTATACACAAATTAAAGCAATTTCCCACATTTGACTTGGACAGATTATGAAAAGTTGTTTAAAAAGAAAAACAGCGCATTCTATAAAGCGAAGCCCACTTCATGCTGCTATAGGCTTAGACTGCTGGAAGACATAGGGACCCCTTTTTCCTCATTCTATCTCTATTCTTCCACTCTGTAGAATCTGTTAGTTCAATCTCTAACGTTCTGCTCTCTCTGCTTTTTCTCATAGTAGCTTCATCTGGTCTGTTCCTGTTTGGCTGTGACTCCATCCTGGAGAGAAATATCAGCTGTGCTGCTGCCATCAACACCTTTGTTTCTAGATGTTGGAGATCGGCCTGTTTTCCAGTGTAGTCCTGTTTCTCTGACTGTGACTAACTGGATGTGCTCTCTTCATCCTCTGACATGGGAGCTGGCTCGGAGCTCGTCTGCCTGGCTGTGTGTTTCCTGGACGGGGCCGTCTTTTACAGTTGCTTTTTGTATCTATGCTTCTTTTTCTATGTCTGCTTCTGTCTCCTTGAACCCCAGTGGGCCTCAGCAGATGGCCGCTCACACTGAGCCTGGTTCTGCTGGAGGTTTCTTCCTGTTCAAAAGGAGTTTTTCCTCTCCACTGTCGCTACAAGCATGCTTAGTGTGAGGGATTGCTGAAGAGTCAATGAGTCGATGCAATCAGCTGGTTTTCCTTTGATAGAAAACTTTGAATCAATCTGACTGGATGATCTGGTGAACTGGAAAGTGCCTTGAGATGACATGATGTGAATTGGCGCTATAGAAATAAACTGAATTGAATAAACGTTTAAGGAAAAGGAAAAACACAGCAATAAACGCCACGGAACGGTTTCTATGATGACTGAGGCAGAGAGGATTCTCAGAGAGAAGTTTATCCAAGTTTTTGTGCGTCGGGTGTCATCAACCCCACAAACTTTCAATGAACGCTAAACGTCACGACCTCATCCAACAATTTTCTGTCATAAAATCGGAATCGGTGCGTTCTGGCCTTTAGTGTTTTTCCACTGAAGTGATCCCAGAGCTGCTACTAGACGGTTATATAAAATTATCAAGCCGGTTTTCCACAAAAGGAGAAACCCCCCGTCCCTATGAGCCTGCCCAGATCCTGACAAAACCAGTTCTTTCCCTCTAGACCTCTGAGACAGAAGTAGGAAGCTTAAAATCTGCAGTGATTAGCGCCAGACAATAGAATCGCAAACTCCTTGTAAAATAGATAAGGCATAAAGAAACTTCTAGGGCAGCCTTGTCTAAAAGAAAACAAGAGGAAATTGCTTTTGAAAACATATGAAGAGCATTTCTAAATAATCTATATTTAATCATGTGGCGTTATTAAAGTAGAAGGTTTTGGTTTTTGAGTTGCAACATTGATCATTATATTAAATATTCTTGACATCTCACCATAGAGAAGGGATTACAGCTGAAATGTTGACCCTTTATTTTTATTTTTGTGGAAAAGAAATCAAATCTAGCAAATTAAAATAAAACAAAAAGAAAAGAAAATGTGTGGAAGGATAAAAGAATGAGGATTGGGAATTAAGGGGAAGGCTGGCTCTACACACCGGACGGGCGTCGAGGGGCTGAGTGAATTAGAGGATTCGCTGCAGACAATAAAAACTATTCCTCTGCTTTCCTTCGGTTTCAGGTCTGCAGGGGAGGATGACACCTATGGAGGAAGCTACTGGTCCTGAGGGGAGGCTGAGTCACACAGGAACTGGGTGGGTGGGCGGGTTGGTTGCTCATCAGTGACCACTCACTCTGCAGCACAGTTACAGTGGCCTGAGCTCGGATCCATGTGGTGGCTGGGTTTTGGTGGAGGTCGTTACGCCGAGGGTCGTTGCTGGCTCTGCACTCATAGGTCCCAGCGTCATCCAACGTGAGATGCGAAACCCCCAGCACACTCACCGAGTTGACGCCGTACGCCGTGCCGATCGACACCCGCCGCTTGCGGGCGCCGTCCCACAGCTGCCTGAAAGAGTCCGCTCGGTTGATCTCCGAGTACCACCACTGGATTTCTGGGGTGGGGTTACCTACTACGTCACAATACAGCTCAAAGGTGTCACCAGTGAGCTTGGTCTCAGACAGAGGGGACTTCACAAAGCCCGCTGGTGGGTGTCAAATCCACGAAAAAAAACGAAGAATAAAGAGGAAAATGAGGAATGGTTAAAGAAAAACAAAGCATGCATCAAAAGCAATAAAAAAAATGAACAAACAGCTTAATTGAACTCAATTGGCTTTTTAAAACAAGTCCTACATAAAATATTAACGTTTAGGTTTTAAACATTGTTATAAATAATTTTAAAAAAACATGAACAATTGTTTCTCAGTCTGGTATAATGTGAACGATTTGAATCTAGATTAGGGGGAGTTTAATATAATTCAAATTAAATAAAGAATAATCTTTTCACATCCAGCCCATCGGCGAGCAATGGAAGACATGTCCTCACGTCTGCCTGAACCATTATTGCTGCTATTCTTGGGAATCTTTAATTCAATTCTGCTGGGACGTCCCCTCAAGGCTGCGCTCACTTAATTTGTTCAATTAATAATATCATAAAATCTGCGGCCAGTCGGCGCAGCCCTGGAATGTAAAAACGTCCTTTATGTGACCTTGTCATGTGCAGCACTTCATGTCTGCTTAATAAAAACGTCATTATTGATCTCTAGATAATTATTCACTGATGAGAGATATCAGAGAACGCGCAGGGCTACTGTTACAGAACAGAAATTCCTCTTTCTTTGACGTACAGAACGTCGAAGAAGAGGACGAAGACACGAGGTGCAGCCATCAACCTGGTCTATAGACAGCATGGAGACCCTGAGACAGAGATTTATACAAGCTTGTGGTCTCTGGGGAGCGTGTAGGCACATGGTGATACCCCCCCCCCCCCCCACATGGTTTCCATAGAAGCACACTTCGAGAAGCGAGCATGGAAATGAAAAAAAAAACAGCCACGGAGATCTATTGGAGCATTGAAGAAAAGTGATTTTTTTTAGTCATGCAGACAAATTGAAGTTCAATTCAATTCAATTCAGTTTATTTATATAGCGCCAAATTCACAACACATGTCATCTCAAGGCACTTTACAGTTCAACCAGATCATACAGTCAAATTGATACAAAGTTTTCTATCTAAGGAAAACCAGTTGATTGCATTGACTCATTGACTCAAATACAATCCCCCACACTAAGCATGCTTGTAGCGACAGTGGAGAGGAAAAACTCCCTTTTAACAGGAAGAAACCTCCAGCAGAACCAGGCTCAGTGTGAGGGGCCATCTGCTGAGGCCGACTGGGGTTCAAGGAGACAGAAGCAGAGATACAAAAAGCAGCTGTAAAAGGCGGCCCCGTCCAGGAAACACACAGCCAGGCAGACGAGCTCCAAGGCAGCTCCCATGCCAGAGGACGAAGAGAGCACATCCACTCAGTCACGGTCAGAGAAACAGGACCACACTGGAAAACAGGCCGATCTCCAACATCTATTAACAAGGGTGTTGATAGAAGCAGCACAGCTGATGTTTTTTTTCCAGGATGACGTCACAACCAAACAGGAACAGACGAGGCAAAGCTACTCTGAGGAAAAGCAGAGAGAGCAGAAGGTTAGAGATTGAACTAACAGATTCTGCAGAATAGGAGAACAGAGAGAGAATGAAGCAGAATGATGAAATGGGGGTCCCTATGTCCTCCAAAAGTCTAAGCCTATAGCAGCATAACTATAGAGATAGCTCAGGATAACCTGAGCCACCCTAACTATAAGCTTTATCAAAAATGAAAGTTTTAAGCCTAGCCTTAAAAGTAGACAGGGTGTCTGCCTCACGGACTAAAACTGGTAGTTGGTTCCACAGGAGAGGAGCCTGATAACTAAAAGATCTGCCTCCCATTCTACTTTTAGAAATTCTAGGAACCACTAGTAAACCTGCAGATTGAGAGCGAAGTGCTCTGTTAGGAACATAAGGAACAATCAGATCTCTGATATAAGATGGAGCTTGAAGTTTTAAGCTCAAATATAGGCCTGCATTGATCAGATATCTATCTATCTATTAGATTTCTCTTATTTCATATATTGATTTAATCAATTTACTCACTATAAAGGCCACACAATGCCTGAGTGAGGGTGTTTGTAGACAACACACACCTTATTCCTATAAGAAGCCAGATTCTTCAAGGTTTATTCATAACATGTTACTGTTTAACCAAAGAGTCTGTAATTTGTTTTGACTCTGACTACTTTCCATTGATGTAATTAAGGGGAACGCACTCTGACCAGGTCAGAACAGGGCTGATTACAATGCAATAAGGGCAAAGATAAAATAAAGTGAAATCCATCCATCTAAGTTTATTTAACTGGGGTAGTTATTAGTTGAATACTTGTTTTCCACGACAGGCATCACAGGGAATGAAAGAAAAAATAAATTTTCAGCTTAAAAGTGGTAAGAGATGGACGCTGTCGCTTCAGATAGACCGGATGTGTCAACACTGCTGAGCTAGCGGCCCTGTCCCTTCACGCCACTGGGCCGTAAATGTCAGAGGGACGTTGTTGGTCATGTGGAGGTTAATGTCAGTTTACTTTGGGCCTGTGGTTACATCCATTTTCACTGCATTTTTTATAACTAATACTCTTGATGCGGAGTCGCAACACGGCGTACGCGGATGTCTACTGTCAACACATCATCCAGGAGGAGAAAAGCCTGCAAAGTCAATGACTTCAAGCAATCAGGTGGTTGCAGATTGTAGATGCAGTGTTCCATCTTTATGGAGGACCAACTCTGCCATATTTAAAAATAAACACAGAAATAAATAAATGCTCAATAAATATATAAGCATACAATTAATTGTAGGGGTGCACCGATTGCAGTTTTCTGGCCGATTTCCGATCACCGAAGTCTGACATGCCGATTCCGATTTTTGGTTAATACCGATTTTATTATTTTTTTGCTATAACCAACACTGTGTTACAAGATCGCAATTCACTTTCAATGTTACAATCTTTTCTTGAAAAACATGCCCTTGAACATTAGCCTTGAACCATTATAAACTTGTTTTAACTGCCCATGAGGTAGAGCCTTGACATAGAAATTAATTAAATAATAAATATTAATTAAATAAAACAAACTTAAGACTACAACATTGGTCTTTTGATTTTTTACATTTCAAATAACAAAACTTCAACAAAAGATCAGAAAAAATATGGAATAGCAACTGATTTTAAGACACTCGCGGAGGTAAATAGATCGGTGGTTAAGATCGGTTTCATATGTAAATATCGGCCGATCACCAATCACCCTAAATTAAGGAAATCGGGGCCGATCGATCGGCCGGCCGATTTATCGTTGCACCCCTAATTAATTGCCAACAAAAATACAATAAACAAATAAATGTAAGTAGAAATTAAATTATAAAGTGAGACATAAATGTATATAACTCTTAATTAGCTTCTTTATTGATTTGCCTTTGTAATATTTACCTTAATTATTTTTTTGTCCTTTATAATCTTCAACTTTATTTTTTAATTACTTATATTTTTAAGTATTTATGTGCATGTTATAATATTTTTGTCTGTTTTATTCTTCCTTTGTATTTTTTTACCTTAGTTATTTCTTCGCCGCTGTTTATTTCTGTACATTTCTGCCTGCCGATATGTGCGGTATCGGCTGTTGATCAAGTCCCAGTGCTGTATCTGGTGTTTGTCACAACGCGCTATTATCCAAGTCATCTTGAAAACATTCTTCTTCCAAATGTTGGCTACATATTACGGGTTTTTTCTCTGGCCAGAAGTTCGATGGCAAATCCTCCCCCTTCAAGTTGGCGATCCAACGACCAACCCGTCCGTGGAGGATCAGGAATCAGAAAGGTGGAATAACTCTTTTTTTCACTTTTACCCGATGTATTCCAGCATCCAGCTGGCATGCACGTGGGCATTGTCAGTTTCACTATAGCTCTGGTGAATTTCCATTGTGAAGTCCTCTGGAAATCTTCAATAATTGTTATTGATTGCAGATGTGTCTAGTAGTTCCCATTGATTTAGCTTGGAAAGCGGGGAGAATGGCGCTAGGCTTACCGCACCGTGACGTCACTGCTGGAAGATGGCAGGAGGGAGGTGTGAAAATTATTATCATTTATTTTTTTATGATTAATGCTAAATTCTAGCCTGGGTGCCATTCCAAACTTAGTCCCGCCCACAAGATTTGAGGTCGGGAAGTTCGGTCTGGCATTGCTCAGTAGTAGCGCGAGTATGATCGCCCACTCTCTGGCGATCCAATCAAATTGTCAGGGCAGGAGGGAGGGGTTACTATATTTGGGCAAAAATGGCCGCTCCCAGACTCAGTGATTGTGACGAAAATTATTAGTTTTCACTGATTAACGTTAAATTCATTAAATCTCCACGACCGTATTAGTTTCAAGTATAAATAATGATCTATTGATTAATCCTGGCTGATCGGACTTAAAAGATTAAAATTCCTTTGAAGAGTTACTTTAACACTGATAAATGTACGGTTGTTGGTGCACCGCCCAGAGGCTTTAATCAGCCGATCAGCACCGCCCACTTCAGAGCAACAATGAGATCTAGTGAGATTTTACAAACCTATATTAATATAAATATCGCAGGATATCATGCTTGTTACTGTATCAAGATATATTGTTATAAATCATCTAATGAAAACCTTAAACTACACAGAATAAAAACCACAGTTAAATAGTATTTTGTTTTTGTAAAAAAAACAGAAGTTTAGAAAAGAACCTCTGTGGAAAACAATTAAATCTTGAAATAAATGAGATTTTATATAATGGACAACATTAAACTTTTCTGTAACAGATTATTATACTGAAATTAGAGTTTTATTTTGTGAATCAGATGAGATCAGGGAAATTCAAAAAGCTCCGAGCCTCAATATTACAGAGACAAGAAATGTTCTTTGATGTTAAATATAACAGCAACAATAATTGGACCCAAGACCATCCATCTACTGCACATAAAACCGGATTACTATTAGATCCATTGAGGTTATTATTCAGGTAAAATTAATACTAGTAAGATTTTATCCTTGCACTATTTAATGATTATCTTTATACAAATTCTGCAATATATATGAGCAATAAAACTAATTATACTACATAGATATTTTAAAAACGAAACTTTGAATCAACAAAGAAAGAGATGCATCCAGTTTAATAAAATAATGCACTGCTAGCGTCACTCTCCACAGGACATTTGCAGCTTCCTCTTTCTAGAGAACGATCCTTTTGTCAGACAAAAAGAAGATTTAAAGATATGCAAGTTGGTGGTGATGATCTCAGACGTAAGAACAAAGGACCAGTTGTCAGATGAGGGTCTGTATTGCTGCATAATGTGCCTGTGCTTCCAATCATTTAATTGCACCTGAAAATCAACAGCTAGAGGCCAAAACCATGAACACAGCTGAGGTTTTAAAGCAGAACGAGGATCCAAAATACATTTGAATTGGCTAAAACAGGGAGTATCGTGCCTATGGAATGGTTCAAACTTTAATCATAGCAGAGTCTTGGTCAGGAACCAACCAATAAGAATTTAATGTGACATTTCTGGAGGAAAAAAATGTTGAAAGTCTAAAAGAATAATAATGGAGGTTTGTGTATTTAATTTAGACCTGACTATATGTGGAATTTCTAAAATTTAAAAAAGTCCAAATTGTTTCCACCTGCTCCTGATTTTAAAGGAAAAGTGCGTCATATTCAGAATTTTAACTTCTTAAAGTAATTTAAATGAAATTATTCCATCCTGTTCAATAAACGATCAGTGTTTTTAATTCAGAGTAATTTTCATCTGAATGTGCTTTACTGGAGGCATCCATGTTTGTCAAAGAACACTACTGCCACCTACTGGTTTGTGACGTCACGGTGCGGTATCGGCTGTTGATCAAGTCCCAGTGCTGTATCTGGTGTTTGTCACAATGCGCTATTATCCAAGTCATCTTGAAAACATTCTTCTTCCAAATGTTGGCTACATATTACGGGTTTTTTCTCTGGCCAGAAGTTCGATGGCAAATCCTCCCTCTTCAAGTTGGCGATCCAACGACCAACCCGTCCGTGGAGGATCAGGAATCAGAAAGGTGGAATAACTTTTTTTTTCCACTTTCACCCGATGTATTCCAGCATCCAGCTGCCATGCACGTGGGCATTGTCAGTTTCACTATAGCTCTGGTGAATTTCAATGGTGAAGTCCTCTGGAAATCTTCAATAATTGTTGTTGATTGCAGATGTGTCTAGTAGTTCCCATTGATTTAGCTTGTAAAGCGGGGAGAATGGCGCTAGGCTTACCGCACCGTGACGTCACTGCTGGAAGATGGCAGGAGAGAGGTGTGAAATTTTTTTATGATTAATGCTAAATTCATTAAATCACCGCAAACGTATTGATCCATTGATCATTCCTTGCGGATCGGACTTTTCCTTTAAGAGTACAATTTAAAATCAGCTGGTTACATAAAAAAAGTCAATTGGTGAAAAGGTTTACAGGTCAGCCATTTTTTTTTACAGTTTTAATGTATAATATACTCTATGTATAAATATGATAGATGCATTTTTTAAAGGATATAAACATAGAGGGAGTTTCTATGGTTGTTAATACAGAAATTATAATTGTATTCAATTAAGGAGATTTTCTGTCTTGCAGCAAAATGTGTTTGATAGACCAATTACTTTTTTATTCCAATAGGACAGTATTTTTCTTTTTTGCAATGCTCATATCTTAACAATAAACACTTGACTTACTCCAAACAAAATGTATCTCTTTTTGTTAAATGATCAGGAAAAACATTCACATTTATGGTATTTAATCTAAATCTTACAGAATTTACCTAATTTTATTCATCTACTGAAAAATAATCAGCTATCATGGAGATGATAATTTTAATTTTTTGGACAGGGCAAAGAGAAATTTGAAAATCCTATAAATTCTAATTTATATTTAAATACTTTATTTGGTATTTATTTTTTTTGTTTCGCTACATAATATGTAGCCAACATTTGGAAGAAGAATGTTTTCAAGATGACTTGGATAATAGCGCGTTGTGACAAACACCACATACAGCACTGGGACTTGATCAACAGCCGATATCGCACCGTGACGTCACAAACCAGTTGGTGGCAGTAGTGTTCTTTGACAAACATGGATGCCTCCAGTAAAGCACATTCACATGAAAATTACTCTGAATTAAAAACACTCATCATTTATTGAACAGGATGGAATCATTTTATATTTAAAGTAGGGATGCACGATATAATCGGCCCCCTATCGGTATCGGCCTTAAAACTGAATATCGGACATCGGCCACCCCACCGATATTCAACCCGATATTTGATCAGCTTCTGAGTTTTTAAAGTCTAAAAAAAAAAAAAATACTACTTCTTCTTTTTCCTCAAAAACTTATTTTTTACAGACTTAAAAACTTCTAAAGACGAGGGAAAAAATATTGATACATTAAAATATCCCAATATCTTCATATGCTGATATATTGCCATTTAAAAACACCATATCAATCTCTTTTACTAATGAAATATTGCTATATGTCATCGTTATGCTACGAAATCCCCCGAAAATTCACAAAATTTGCCATATTTTTATATGTTGATATATTGACGCGGTACCGATCTATTTTACTGACAAAATCTCACAAGAATTTGCAAAATATCACGAGAGTTTGTAACAGAACGATGAAATTTCACGAGATTTTGAAAGTAAAATAGATCGATACCGCGTTTTTAAAAATCAGTTTGATATCAGCATATGAAAATATATTTGAGTATATTATTTTTCAAAGTGTCAGAAATGGATAACAAAACTGCTATTTTCAATGACTACTTATTTTTGTCCAGCTTTAACATCGGTATCGATATCGGTTATCGGCTACATGAGTTTTAAAATATCGGCATATCGGATATCGGCCAAAATCCTAATATCGTGCATCCCTAATTTAAAGTACTTTCAGAAGTTGGAAGTCTGAATATGAGCGGACTTCTCCTTTAAGAGTGTTTTTGCTCCCATTGTAAATTAGAACTCTAGGAAGTGTAAGTCTTATTCCAGTTATCGTAATAACTCTAAAAGAGTCAACCCTAGCTAGGGGTTGACTATTTTTTTATAAAAAATAAAATAAAACAATGAAATGAATGTTTGCATTTTAGATTGATTCCAAACTTTGAATCAATATCGCTCTATATAACATTTTAATTGATTTTTCCTTTAATTTTATAATGGAATCTCGTTGCTTTGGATTGATTTGAATTGATAATATGGAGCAGTTTGTCATGGGCAGCACCTTGACATGGCATTTGTTATGTGCTGGTGTCATAAAACCGGACTGAGAACGATAAGATCACAGCGTTCATGTCTGTAGGGTATAAAGCTCTGCTTTTGATCAACTCTTCCACAGAATAATGAGATGTTCACAGTGGGGGTGCAGAAGGACATGCAGCCCCACACATGGGCCACTCCAGGGGAGGTAAAAGCTTGTGATATGTCCTCACAGAGTGCTTGTAATGCGATCGAAGCAACACTTCACCCTGGCAGCAGCAGCTTCTCAGCTGAGAGAGGGGTTATGCTGCTTTAATCTGTTTGTTGGGGATGAGATTTATGAGCAAGCGGGGCTCTGAGCAGGAAGATCAATGCCATTCTGCAGCGCAACAACATCTCAGAGAGGAGTTAACAGATCTGTGGGACATTAAAGCCTTGCTTTCCAGTGCAGCATCTCTCTCTACTAAAAATAGAAGCATGCAGCAAAATGGACTGATGCTATTTACGGAGCCCTGCTCCTAAAGTCCTACATCTAATTACAGCAGGCCTACATGCTGAGCTCTGCTGCAGGATGGACTGATGCAGAATAGATGAGAGCTGATTGCGGCCATGCATGTGAAGGGATTTCTAACTTCAGCTGCAGCTTTATTCCCACACTAATGAGAAGAACTTGTCCTTGCTGCGCCACTCAGTATTCAGCACCACACTTCAAGGCCTCCGTTTGGCCCATTTCAGCCAAACCAAAACAGATTGTAGCCCTTTAATAATTTATTGGCCGGGAAACAAACAGCCTTTTAGCTTTTATTGGATGTTTATTCCCATGGGCGCAGTGTGCTTTCTATTTAACAGGAAGGTTGAGGAATTTTCTGATGATGTTAAAAGAAATCTTACATAAAAAATGAAAAATGTCCCATAAATGCGTTCATTTCCAAAAACAAACCGCATTCCAGCCATGATGGGAGAATGTCAGGTGTAACTTGTTTTTCTCCTACCGTTCTGGGAAGACACGGACTGCAGCATCAGCGTCCCGAATATCGCCACCGACAGGGACAGGACTGCGGCTCCCGGCTGGACAGCTTTCATCTTCGGATGAGGTTGAGATTCCGATGGGGAAGCGCAAAGGTGACCCGATGCGGGACGGATACGGCGCGGCTCCCAGACGCTCCTGCGGAGTGACGCGGACAGAGGAGAGGAGGGAGGAGGAGGTGTCGCTGGGTAGAAAATGGAAGAGCCGGAAACTGCTGCCTCCTGTCCACCTGAGACGCTCCAATTCAGCTCCGGTTCCGCCGCTGTTGCAAAGGCTAGAACAACCGGGCTTTTTTTCAGCGAGCTCCCAAATCCCAAATCTCGCGAGACTTCGAAGTAGCGCAGAGACAACGGGACCTCG